ATTAAATTACAATAAAAAATAAATTAAAGAAATTACATAAAAATGAGAACTTTTAAATAATTGATTTGATATTAACATTGATATATATTTTTTTAATTTTTTATGATATCTTCAAATTTATATTTTATTCAAAAATAAAATCATTATTGCTTTATTAAAAACACATAAAATCGTATTATAACATCGACAGAGACATAATAAAATAGACATTAAAATCGAGATGTATCTCGTTGCATAGCGCGAGTACTCTTCTAGTTATCTTATAAAACGTTGACAAAAATTCTTAAAAAGGTTATTAAACATTAGATGTGCCTTAGTGCATAATCTTTTGAAACTCAAGTTTATAACTTGTTATTGCATACGTACAGTACAACTTAAATATTATTGTTCAGATTCTATAAAACTAACTGATATACACGTTTAAATCTGTATATGATGTGCAATATGTTTTTAAAAAGCTTGAGATGTGTATTACAAATCTATATGATACGTACATAACCTCGTTTTTGTTCTAACTGTGTCAAAATCGAGAGTTTTTTGGAACTACAACGACAATGAAGTAAGTTAACTAACTTTGTAGGATATCCATTATACTTCGATTGAATTGATTCTTGAGTTTGTGGAATCAGATAAAAAGTTCTGCTTTTAGACATTGTATTCTAAAACCTCATAAGCGTATGATAAATATTTGAGTCCTGTAATGAGTTTAGTGCAAGAATGATTGTGTTCCAATTCGGTCAATGTGGAACGTGTTAGCAGGGCCGTCCCTTAACATGTTAAATATGAGATTTTGAACAGGGCCCCAGAAATTTTGAGGCCCAATTTTACATGTGTTTAGGGTCTTTTTAACATGTATAAAACTATAGCCGAAATTATTTAGGTTCAAACCGTTAATTGTTTGGTTTTAGGTTCAAATTGTCAATCGTCTTCGGTTTAGCCCATTTTTGTTCTTAACATATATTCTTTGTTATCTCATTTATGCAATACAATCAAAAGTTTTGGATGTAGCGGGGCTCTAAAAAGATTGAAACGTCTCTGCGTGTTAGGTGCGTGTTTAGGAGTGTAGGTATGAATGCAGTGGTTAATTGACCTTGTGGGGTTTGATATGACGTATAGTTGCTTTCAAAGGTAGTGTAATTAATCTATGATCAATTTCACGTTCCCTTACTTTATTACGTGAGCTGTTTACG